CAAATATGGTTTCAGACCCGTCTAGGGTTTCAGAACCGTCTAGGGTTTCAGAACAGTATAGAGTTCCAGAACAGTATAGAGTTTCAGTCTAACTACGGGTTTTGACCTGTGCCTGAGTAAAAAATAGTCTGGAATGACCGTGGGCCTGAAAGTCAAATAGTCTGGAAGGACCGTGGGCCTGAATAACACAGGTCTGAAAATACCGTGGCCCTATAAAAACCGTAGGCTTATATGGACCGTGTTTACCTTTGTTTTCAATATAATATTTTAGTGCTTTTATAATTTTCATTATATCATTTAAATATTAAAAACAAATAATGTGTTTGAAATAATTTTCAGAATAATAATTATTAAAAATAAAAACTATTGCAATTAATATAGTGTACATATATATGTAAATTTCAGTTACTTATCCTTTCAAACCAATATCTTCGTATGTAACTGTGGACAATATTTCCCGTTCTACAGATATGGCTAAGGACTGCAAAAAATTCAAAAGAATTGCACATAGCTAATATTTATATTTTGCTTCTAATAATCATCCCGATAAACATGCCGACCAACCCGAAAGTTTTAAGAAAAAATGACAGAAAAAATTATTATTATATAGTATTTTAATTATTAATTTCGTTTAAAGAGGCGTATAAAGAGTTATTAGGAGTTATCGGAAATTCGGAAATATAAAAGTGGAACATATAAATGTCAGAAAACATCAAACTCCAGAAAAATGCTTTTTAGGCATTTATGTAAAATATTATTTAGTTTTTATTGTTTTAAATGTAATTTAAAATGTAGTAGATTTGATAATCTACAAACTCATATTAAAAGCCATAAATAATAAATTTTATGTTAATAACAACTTGTTTGCATGGAATAAATATTATTTAAATATTTTCCTGCAAATGAATGTTTAATCATTGACAACAGAGGTCCTGTCAATTTTGCAGTTGTGTGTATGTCTCCTCCCACTTATCACGCAAACAGTGTAGTAACAGTTACTGCTGTACTGTAGCTATTACTACACTGTTTGCGTGGGAGGAGACATACACACAATTTATAAGCAGGCTTTTTCTTTGATTGACACACTATTTCAATATAAGACTTTAACGTATCATATCTGGTGCTCTCCGTATTAAATTTATAACAAAAAACACTATATATCTGACGTGAAAGTTGTTTTCTTGTACTAAATTTTTTTATCACAAATGTGGAATGATTATGATTTATAATTAAATTCATAGATATTGTTGTATGTTTGCATATTGAACAACAACACTATCTTCTTTGTGCAAAAATATAGTTCTATCCATGTTAATGATAATAATGAAATAAATTTTTTATAAATAATTTTTTTTAACGTATTTAACATAAACTTTTGATCTAATTCTTTTAGTAATAAATAATTAAATATTTTAAATATTACAATAGTGGGTCAAACCAGTTGCATATTTAACTAGTATTGTTTGAATTATTGAAAATTTATCCTTTAATTAAACAACACATATGCATAATAAATACTCGTTTTATTGTTTCATATTTCAAGAAATTGTATACATAAAAACATATAATAAAACAAAACAAATATTTCTTATTTTTTTATGACTTTTAATGTGAACTTTTAAGGTATCAATTTTACGTCACATTTGTTACAACAGAAATTAAACATAACTTTACATACATGTCGTGATAACTTTTTCTTATTTGTATATTTTTTCACATTCATGTTCAAGTGGTATACAACAGTTATTATCAATACATTTGTTTAAATGGTGTTTCAACAATATATGAAAACTAGTTTCATTTACAAATAACCCTTTATGTTTGACATAAATGTAATTATCAGCGTTGAGTTCCTTAACATAAAATACAGTATCAATGTCTCGATATTGAGTGGACACGGTTATACCCTTAACACTAGTTTGTGTGGTAGTGTTTTTGTAACTCCTGGAATGTAATAAAACAATAATTATTACAAACAAAAAAGTAGATAACACATATCTATTAGCATTTGCGTCAATAGTAAGATATTTTTTATAATTGTCCAGTACCTCTGTGAGCGGATCGTATGCTTGCATAAACTTTATACATAAAGTTAGAATTAAGGAGTTTAAAATAATAATACAAACAAATTGAAATTTGGTAGTCCTAGGGTGACGGATGTCTTTAGGTTTGTCAACATGTTTGTCGGGGTGATGAGTGGCGGCAAAATTTCGGTATTGACGTGTGACAAAATTTTTAATTACGAGATAATCTCGAGTTATTAATTAAAATTGTATATTTTTGACTTACTTTTAATTTTTATAAAATTATATTAGAGAGAAATAATATAAAAAGCGAAAGCATTTTTACTAATTTTATTCAATATATTATTTGTATTATATGCTTTCTTTTTTAAGTTTAAATTACAGTTTTTGAATATTACGATACAATGTCTGGCAAAGCAAAGAATTTCGCGGATATGGAGGCTCTGGAGGTCTCGGATACAAACGATTATGGTACTGCGAGTGTTTCTGGTTCCTCACAGCTATTATCATTAAAATGGATAGATCTTTATTTTTGCACAATGAAAGAAAGTATTGTTGTTCAATATGCAAACAAACAATATCTATGAATTTAATTATAGATCATATTAAAACATCATGATTTAATTGTGTGTGAATTTTATCAACTAAAAGATACATATCGCCATTTTATAACCGTAAGCTAAGTGGTGTGTTACCGAATTTACATAAGTAGGGTTAGTTAAGCTTAGATACCTGTAATATCCACTTCCCCTACACTATTTAGTATATAAAAGTAATATATCACAGAGTACTATTAATTTATACTCATCCCGGCTGAGCCCCCAAAAATGTAACGTTTTGCGTCGCTAACGCTACACGTCTTCATTTTTGGGGCTCAGGCGGGATGTTTATAAAGTAAGTAAACTGAAATATTACTTATATATACTAATTATGATAAAGTTGTGAAATATTTTCAAAAATTGACTATAAAATAATTAATATTTTAAAATTTACATTTTATTTTTTTCCTTGATAACTACTTTTAACTATTTTTAATATAAGAAGGTGGTCAATCGATCTTGAGCAGTGTATTTTTTGAATAACTTTTAAACGCTATGAGATAATTTAATTCTGTTGTATATGTCGAATATGTCGACTAGTTTTCGAAATAATCGACTTTCAATATAAATTATAATATCAAATTACAATAGTGTGATTCATATTGAGTTGATTATTTCGAAAACTAGTCGGCATAATATAATTTTGTTTTTAGAAATAATAATATAATTGAAAATTTAATCTTCTAAATATATAATAGTCATAAATAACGTCAATTTTATACAATGTGATTTATGACATATTGAACAAGGTATAAAAATAAAAGTACCAATCCGATTTTGATGATTCTTTTTTATATTAAACTATTATTTCTTGACTACAAATTTACATTGTCATAAAAATTAGTCTGTTGTAGTTTGACCTGTAGCATAGTGTCTTGCGTTGGTCCCGATATTTTGTATATCTGGTCATCCTAGTTTTGTGATTGTGTGAATATTAAGTGTGGTCAATATGATATTCTTAAATGTATTTTACAGAATTAAATTATCTATAACCGTTCAAAAGTTATTCAAAAAATACGACGCTCAAGATCGATTGACCGTCTTCTTTATTATTGTAGTACATTATTGATTGATCATCATAGTTATGTTTTGTACTAGTAATTTTTAATATGATTTTTAAAATAAATTTATAAATATTACCGATTATGACAAAACCGTTTATAATTTATTAATTGATATACCTAAATTTTTATTTAAATGTAACCTTAGTAAGCGCTTATTATATGTGTACCTATTACTGATTACGTTTACTATTCTTTGCTATAATATAATTATTTTTGTTGATTTTTATTTATATAATTAGATTATAATTAGTTTGATATTATATGCTTTTGTTTTGCACCAACGTACACATAACAGTGCARTATATAAACAACTTTTTCTTCATATGATGCCATGTCTGATGACCCGTTCAGTTCGATGTTCGGCAGGACTCGATAGGTTCAGGGACTGGAACCTTATAAACTTTTCACTCCATTTGCACCTCCTAACCATACTATCGATTAAGTGAATGTTTAAATCAGGTTTATTTAAACAATTTTAACGGTGACTTTCAACATTATTAACATACTGTCCGGTAAAATTACCGCGAGTTTTAAACTCGCATACATATGTCGTAGTATCATTTGGTGTTTTAGATATATGTATAGTGCATTTAGCACAACCAATATTAGATGTTGTAGTCCATACTAATTGTGCAAAAGATTGCAACTCATTAAATTAGTAACTATTCTTTGTGATAAACGGAGCAAGTAGAGTTGAAGACGTATAGTTAAAAAATCGATTAAGTTTATACCAATTTTTATAAATTTTTATATTTGATTTTTTAAATTTCATTTTTATATAATAAATTATTTGATTAAAATAATATCTAACCAGTTGTTAACAACCTTACGATATGTGAAGTTCTTGTTTTCAGTAAATTTCTACACACMTATGAGTTAATTAAATAATTTATTAATTAGTTTATATAAATTAAATTTATTATTTTATATTGTTTATAAAAAACTAATGTTTAAAAAATTAAATAATATATTAAATTTCAGTAGGTTAGCGTAAGTTACTTTAAATGATTTTACTTTAGTCATTCAAATTAATTTATGTTTGTTTTATTTTCACGAACTACTGAAAGGATTCCGTATATGCATTCCATAAGTCAGTGGGACTTTCCGGTGTCTCACGACCAGGGTTTTAAGAAAATAAATGCCTGCCCTGGCAATGCCCAAATAGATGCCATAAATGCCTGGCATTTTGGGCATCTATTTTATTTGCCTGCCAATTTAAATTGCTAAAAAGCAACTGTATTTATAAAAATAATGTAATTTACTGTTTTTAGCTTGTTAATTAAATTTACAATTAATTTACTTATTTCTAATTATATTACCTTTTAATTAAAGGTATACAAAACAAAAATACAAGCAAATATATTATAAAAACAATGTTTTATAAATTAATTAATAATATAAAATTAAAATAATAGGCGTCACCACCTGAAAATAGATGCCCAGGGCATCTGCTACACATTTGGCAAAAATCTAATTTTTTTAATTAAGATGTTCGTATAGAAATTTTTTTAATTAAGATGTTCGTATAGAAATGGTAAAGGTATAGCATAGGTATAGGTATTAGGTATAGCATTCTCAACTGGTTTAGTTTATTCGATATAAAAAAATAAGTTTATAAAAAATWAAATAGTTTAATASAAAAAATTAGACACTTATACTGTAACTTTGAATTATTAAATAAATGTTTATTTTTTTATAGAAATTTTTAATAATAATAGTTTTGTTATATGTAAAATATATTAGTTTTTTTTTAAAAATAAATAATTTAATTAATAACTTACAAATGCAATAATTATTTTTTTTAATATGCGTTCACGCATTAAATTAATTTTTATTTGAATTTACTTTTTATTTATTACTAATACTTTATATATCTATGTTATTGAAACATACAGTCGAAACCAAAACATAAYTAATAAACTGTCGGAAAAAATCAATGTTTGATAAGACAACTGAAGACAACAACAACAACAATAATAACAGTGATAATGGCTTACATCGGACACAAAACACTGGAATCGTTGACCACTAATACYATAACCATCGATGACCTRAAACAYGCCCGCAGTTTGTCGCTAGTGTTGGGCATCCGTATCGGTTCGGGTACCTTCTCGGATGTATTCATAGCTAAATATAAGTCTCGTAGAGTGGCCGTCAAATTTAATGATAAACGATTGGTCAGAGAAAAATATAACGACCAGGAATTAGTGGTCATCAATATACTGTTGAGAGCACCGGGACATAGAAATGTCATCAGATTTTTAGATCTATTCGAAAACTACAGTCGCAGTCAGGAATGGATACTAATGGAGTTGTTTGACGGCCGGGAATTGTACGATAAGATTATGGAAAATAACGGTCCGTTCGCTGAACGGGTAGCTAAACAGTATATGAAACAAATGGTCGATGGATTGGCCTATTTGCACGGTCTGACTATTGTGCACCGGGATATCAAACCGTCAAACGTAATGATTAAGGAAACCAATGGACAACAATTGGCGCTCAAGTATATTGATTTCGGTTTTTCACGTGTGGTCGACATCAGCAACAACGGTAAGGCCATCTGTTCCAGTCATGTGGGAACTGATCCATATATGGCACCGGAAGTGTTCGACAAAGAGGAAGACTATAATGCCTTCAAAAGCGATATCTATAGCGTAGGTGTCATACTCTATGTGATGATCTATTGGATAAATCCGTTTTATGGCCAAACACGCGATGATATTATCCGATTGAAACAAAAACCGGTAGAATTTCCCGACGATATGCAAGTATCCGATAGTGTCCGACAATTGTTGGCAAACATACTGTGTTTGGATCCCATCAATAGGTTTCATATCAATCAGATATTGGACTCCGATTGGATGAAACAGTAATTTATTTATTTATTTTTTTTTAAATTTAATTTATTTTTTTAGTTATTAATTTTTATTAACACAAAGTTATTAATAATTTATTTACTTATTTCTACTTATGCTATATATTTTTATGTCAATAATACTGTATAAACATTACATTTATTTTTTTAATTTGTATCATAAACTTATACTTCATAAACTTTATACTGTATTTTATTACTGTATATATTAATAATCAATTTTCTATTAAAAAATATATATACAATATATAATTTATTTCAAACAAAAATCATATTATTATTTTTTACTGATATTTAGATATTACAGTCTAAATGAATGAATATAATTAATAATTGATTTTAAATGATAAAATTAATCTCGTGATTAATTAATTATTAATTAACTTTTAATTAATTGTTTGATCAATTGATTTTACATTATAAAATGTTTTTATGTTTTGTTGTTGTTATGTAACTGTAATAAATAAATTTTAATTGTTTTAAATATGATTGTTAATCAATTAATCATTGATTAGATACATACATAAAAAACATGTACCGGTATTGTAATAGACATGGATTGACAGTTATAACTGCGGCAGCTATTGTTGTTGACTGTCATCAGTGGTCGAAAAACATTGGTTATAAGCACCGGGATATTGTTTGCACACTGGATGAACAACAACAACAACAACAATACGGACAGACAGTTGGTTATCAGTTGATGAAAACGGTTCACATGACTAACCAAAAGTACAACATTGACTATATATTCAATCTGACGGCCAGCAAATTTGTCAAAGTTTATCAACCAAACTATCAGTTAGGACTATCGGAAGGTATCGGCACCGGTACTGTGATTAAGTATAGCCGCCAACCGTTAATAGTAACCAACGAACACGTAACCTCTGGCCGATCTATTATGTATATACAGTGCAATCACGAATCCAATGCACGTCCCGGTCAAGTAGTCTACGAGAATCATGCGCTTGATTTGGCACTTATATGGGTTCCCAGTTTGCAGTTTGATTTTATGCTCAGCGATTGTCAACCAGTAGTGGATAGCGAACTCGAGTTTGGCGATGAAGTCATTTCGGTAGGTTTTACACCATTTGGACCGACTATTTACATGGGCTGCGGCCATGCGGTCTGTACGGACAGTTTTGGACCGCCAGCCGATCCCATAGTTTTCATTCCCACAATAAGCTACGTAAAGCATACGGCCGGCCAGTGTCCCGGTTTTTCTGGCGGTCCTACTATGAATTTATCGGGCAAATTGGTGGCCATCAACTGTATTGGCCGTGAATACAATCAATATAACTATTCAATACTTGCCATTGATTTGTTTAAAAGTAATACTATTTTTTTTTTTGGATATTATTTATTTTTTGTTGAAAATAATTAATCTATAAAAATAAAGATTTTGTTGAAATCGGTGGCATATTTATGATACAACAGATGGATAAACGGGAATTTCAACACTCATTAAGATTAGGACTGACACTACAGTGGACTTCATTATCATTAGCTTCTGGTGGTTGTCTTATCAGAGATAAGTTTTGCAAAACACTTGAAAAGTATTGTCTCACTTTCTAAACAACTGTTTTTTTTAAATAGTAATTAATTAATAATTAAAGTATTAATTAATATGATTTGTTGTTTTCTATATATATATTAAGCCAAGATCTGGATACCGATGATATTATAGTGGGAATTAATGGACAAATAGTTAGATCGTTGGATCACTTTATGAATGAAATTACTGCCCAAACTGCCGACATAACTGTCCTGATTAAGGGCGATAAAGCTCCGCATACTATACAGACTCAGCTATTGGACATTATGTGGATTTGAAAATAATATATTTTTTTCCCGACATCTCTACTTAATATTAAACATTAATAGAAAAATATTTGTTTTTTTAAAGAAAATATATGTAAATAGAGTTAAAATTAAATGCTATCAATAATTTTGCAAAAAAAATTGTGTTAAAACTTTTAAAAACACATTATGCGTTATGCAATAAGTGTATAAAAATAATTATTTTTTAAAAAAATAATACTAATTAACTAATCTAGTAATTACATTATGTTGTAATATATTTTAAAAAAATATATATTTATTTATTGTTACATTAATTGTAATCACATTTATGACAATAAACAATAATATTGATGACCAGCACAACAATAGACCAAATAATTACTTCAAAAAGTTTAACTCTTTTGCGAAAAACTTGAAGACACAGAGCTGTTTGATCTTTTGATGAAGAATACATTGGCACTGATTATTACACCAATCAAATTGTCCGCATTTGGCCGAACATTGCGGACACTTTAGATCGCCGGACGGCTGCTGATACACAATATCGGCCAATGGCATCCATTTGATTGGTTCGGTAAATATGTGGTCACACTTGTATCGCGATTCGCTAGCATTTATGAAATCTCTGACCACTTGGATCTCGTTGAACAATACTTTCTGACATTTGCGACACTTGTATTCATTGCCAAGTGTTGTCTGACCAGCACTACTACTACTATTAGTACTACTACTACTGCCTTTACCGACTGCTATCTGATTACTGGCGGCGCTCACGACTGTTGTTGTCTTACCGGCACTTGTTTTGGATGCTGTTGTTTGTGGACCACCACCGGCAGTGACGCTGACTTGTGTCGTCGTCTGACCACTGTTTCCGCCGCCGCCGCCGTTGACAGCTGCTGTCTGACCACTATCGGCTGTTGCTGTTTGGCCATCAGTAATAGCACCGCCGCCGCCAACAGTAGCTGTTCCGTCAACATTGCCTGAGTCGCCGAGAATTTCAAAAAACTTGTCGACAATAGTCATATCTGGATCAGTAGTTTTGTTGATAATCTTCTTTTTCAACACATATGTCAGTCGAGTCAACAGATATTGTCTGAACTGGACGTTCATCGGATCCAAACCGTAGTTCATCTCTTTGAACAGTTTTAGCTGAAACTCGAAACTGTTGTTCGGTCGGGCTTTTGGCCGTTTGGCTTTAACCCGACGCAGGGCTTCATTGTAGTCTAGTTTGTCTCTACGCATGATATATCCGACAACAATTGTTACGCTACGTGACTGACCGAGTCGGCAGTGGACATAGACTGGTTGCCCTTGTCGTAGGCCGTCGTCGATGAACTGATGAGCGACGGCAAAGTGTGTCAACAGGTCGTCCTGAAGGTTATCCGTCAAACAGATTTGCAAGTACTCGACATCTGGCAGTCGACCGCTCTCATCGATGCCGACATCCCTGACCGTCAGCACACGTTTGATGCCATTCTTGCGCAACATTTCCTTGTCATAGGCGGCCATAATGTTACCCAAGTATAGGTTGTCCTCGATCTTCGAGTAGTCGACGGGTAGGTCTCTATCGGTTGGCTTTATAGTCATTACTAATATCTAATATATTGTATGATTTGTGTCTGTCTTTCTATTGTACAGTCTGTGCTCTCTGTTTGTCTGAATATCTAACTGTCCACTATATATATGCCTGTATTTGGTGTTAGTCTCCTATTTTTGTTGGTATAGTAATATCGGTGACACTAATGATATAGTTTCAGTAGATATTATCACCGATGCATTAGTAAATCTAAATGAAATTTTTAAATTTTAAGTTATTGTTATTATAATGTGTTTTTCTAATTGTTGTATAATTTTAAAAAAAAAATAATTTTTATTCAACTATAATATATTTAGTTTATTAATAATAAATTTGTTTACAGTTAAGTTAAAACTTTTATAATCACGAAATAGATAAAATAGTCAATTCATAACAAAAATAATTGTTAGATTAACAGTTTTACAATACAAAAAAAATTAATAAATTTAAATATGATTTAAAAAATTTGAAACTTATTAATTGATTTCAAATACATAATACATAAAACATGTACAGGTATTGTAATAGACATGGATTGACAGTTATAACTGCGACAGCTATTGTTGTTGGCTGTCATCAGTGGTCGAAAAACTGTTATCATAAGCACCGGGATATTGTTGACACACAATGTCCAAGTGAATTGTCGGCACTGGATGAACAACAACACGGGCAGACAGTTGGCTATCAGTTGATGAAAATGGCTTACATGACTAACCGAAAGTACAACATTGATTTCATATACAATTGGATGGACACGAAATTTGTTAGAGTCCGGTCACCATCGAGCTATAAGAAAATAGTATTGGGAAGCATTGGCACCGGTATTATCGTAAACTTTCACAATACACCCTTAATTGTGACCAACGAACACGTAACCGATGGCCATCATATTGTATATGTAAAATGTAATCACGAATTGGTGAACGAAACGCGAGTCGGTTTAGTTGTTTACAGGAATCCCGAACTGGATTTAGCGCTCATATATGTGTCGAGTCTGAGAATTGGTCCGATGGTTGGCGGCTGTACTATGGAATCGGTTACCGAACTCGAGTTTGGCGATGAAGTCATATCTTTGGGTTTCGGCCAAAACGATCCCAATGTTATTAACATGGGTTACGGACATGTGGTTTGTACGGACAGTCTAACACCGCCGCCCGATCCCGATCCCGTTGATGTGAATCGCAATAGTAGATACGTGAAACATACGGCCGGCCAGTATCCCGGGTTTTCCGGTGGCCCTACCGTTAATTTGTCCGGCAAATTGGTGGCCGTTAACAGTGTTGGCAATTTGACTAATGATTTTAAATATTCAATACATGCCAGCAATTTGATTGAAAGTTTGTAAACAACAAAATAATACAATAAATAAAACATTTACTATTTATTATTATTACAGATTTTGTTGGCAATGGTCCTGAATTTCATACACAACAGATTGCCAGACGGGAAAGGGAGCACTCGTTGAGATTAGGACTAACCCTACAATGGTGTCCATACTATGGTCTAAATGGTGTTATGGTTTACGAAAAGTTTTGCCTAACACAGGGAAAGTATGCATTCAAAAAAAATAATACTGTATTAACATTACTGTAAAACTAATAATAAATTTGTTTTTTTAGCCAAAATTTGAACAGACTTGACATTATAGTGGAAATCAATGGACAACAAATCAGATCATTGGATCACTTTATGTATGAGATAAGCCGTTTTCCTGACAACAACAACATACCGGTGCTTATTCATAATGATAGACATTATTCGGGCATACATTATCCAGATATTATTAGAGCCCAACAATTGAACTTAAAGTGGATTTGAATTTTATAAAATATTTTTAAATTAGTTTTTTTTAATTAATTGACAATTATATAATAAAAAAAATATTTGAATAATAAATTTATTTATAATTTTTTGTTACAAATTTTGTTTTTGTTGTCGATATATTAATATTACTATTTTTTTTATTAAATGTAGGCTATAGAAAATTAACAAAAAAAAATAATTTAGTGATAAAATAGTTGGAAATTTTTTTTTGTAATATGTATTTATTTAATTTTTTAAATAGATTTTTTTCACTATTAATTATTAACAATCTTACTACCATTCCCCACATTACACACACCCCTTTCCTAACCCACCTAACCCAACAAAAACAAACAGCTATACAGTATATACTAAATTAATATACTGTAAATTACAACACATACAATACAATACAGAACTATTGATAATATATTGTATAACTGTTTTTTTTTTGTTAGGTTAGGTGGGTTAGGAAAGGGGTATGTAATGTGGAAAGGGAGGTGAATGATAGTAATAATTAGTAATAAAAGATTACTTAATAAATAGTAATAATTAACTGTATTTTCAATGAATTTTATAATAATATCAATGGTATTGAATCGCGCGTGAAATCGATGGCTACATACATAGTATACTAATATAAATCAAATAGTTGTCAACTCATAACAAAAATAATTAATTGTTTTTATTTTGTGTGTTTGTTTAAACGTATAAATCAGTAGTTAATTAATTACATACATAAAAAACATGTACCGGTATTGTAATAAACATGGATTGACAGTTATAACAGCGGCAGTTATTGTTGGCTGTCATCAGTTGTGGCAAAACAGTTGTCATAAGCATCGGGATATTGTTGGCACACAATATCCAAATGAATTGTCGGCATTGGATGATCAACAACAACAACAATACGGACAGACAGTTGGCTATCAGTTGATGAAAATGGCTCACATGACTAACGAAAAGTACAGCATTGATGTCATAAACAATTGGATGGACACGAAATTTGTTAGAGTCCGGTCACCGAACTATCGACACGTAATGTTCGGTGATATCGGCACCGGTATTATCATCGACTTTTACAATATCCCATTGATAGTAACCAACGAACACGTAACACGTGGCCATCAATTTGTACACATAAAATGCAATCACGAGTCGGAAAACGAATGGCCGATCGGTTTAGTTGTCTACAAGAATCCCGAATTGGATTTAGCGCTCATATATGCGCCGAGTCTACAGATTGGTCCGATGGTTAGCGGATGTACTATCGAATCGGATTCGGGACTCGAATTTGGCGATGAACTCATAACTTTAGGCTTTCCCCAATACGAACCCATTGTTAACATAGGTTACGGCTATGTTGTCTGTACAGATAGTTTAGTACCGCTCTCCGATCCCGTTGCAATGGTTCCCGATTGTAAATACGTGAAACATACGGCCGCCAAGTATGCCGGGTTTTCCGGTGGTCCAACAGTAAATTTGTCCGGCAAATTGGTGGCCGTTAACTGTTTGGGCAGTATGACTAACCTATATAAACATTCAATACTTGCCATCAATTTGATTGAAAGTTCGTAACAAAATAAAAAATATAAATAAATAAATAACACATTTTTAATATATATTTTATTAGTTTTCAATTTTCAGTATTATTATTATTAATTATATTTTTATACAGATTTTGTTGTCAATGGTAATGAATTTTTCAGACAACAGATTGCCAGACGGGAAAGGGAGCACTCATTGAGATTAGGGCTAACCCTTCAATGGAGTCCAAACTATGGTGTTATGGTCTACGAAATGTTTTGCCTAACACAGGGAAAGTATGTTTTAAAAAAAACAACAACAATATTAATATTACTGTAAAATCTAATAAATAATAAATTTTTTATTTTAGCCAAAATTTGAACAGACTTGACGTTATACTAGAAATCAATGAACAAAATATTATATCATTGGATCACTTTATGTATGAGATAAGCCGTTTTCCTGACAACAACAACATACCGGTGCTTATTCATAATTATAGACAATTTTCGGGTAGATATTATCAACAGTTTATTAGTGCCCAACAATTGGACTTAAAATGGGTTTAGATTTTGTTTTTAAACTAATTAATTAATTAACAATTATATAACAAAATGCATGTTTCTATATACACTTTGACTAAATAAAATAAATTTAAATAAATTTATTAATAATAATTTTTGTAACCAAATTTTTTTTTTATTAATAAATATATGAATAATATTAGCTTTTAAAAATTTTAGTTAACAACAAAAAAAAAGCAACAAAAAACCAAATATATTTGTATAAATGTGACATTTAATTAATAAATTTTATAAATATATTTTTTTTAATTAAATCTCAAACATATACAGAAATTTATATCAACAAAAAAAGTAAAAACACGTTAACTAATAATACAATTATTAAGTTTATTATTGAATATGAATCTCGAGATAACATATATTATTAAATATTAAATATTAGATATAATTAAGTAATAAATTTTGATTGATATTCAAAAAATAAATAAATAAAACGTTTAAATCAGTTGATAATTGATTAAAATACATAAAAAAAACATGTATCGGTATTGTAATAGACATGGATTGACAGTTATAACAGCGGCAGCTATTGTTGGCTGTCATCATCAGTGGTGGTGGTGGCAAAACAGTTGTCATAAGCACCGGGATATTGTTGACACACTATGTCCAAATGAATTGTCGACAGTGGATGACCAACAACAACAACAACAACAACAATACGGACAGACAGTTGACTATCGGTTGATGAAAATGGTTCACATGACTAACGAAAAGTACAGCATTGATGTCATAAACAAATGGATGGAAACAAAATTTCTTAGAGTCCGGTCACCGAACTATCAGAAAATAGTGTCGGGAAGTATGGGCACCGGTATTATCGTAAACTTTCGCAATAAACCATTGATTATAACCAACGAACACGTAACACGTGGCCATCAATTTGTAGACTTAAAATGCAATCACGAGACCGAAAAACGGATCGGTTTAGTCGTCTACAAGAATCCCGAACTGGATTTAGCGCTCATATATGTGTCGACACTAGAGTTTGGTCGTATGCTTGGCTGTTGTACTATCGATACGGTTAACACCGAACACGAGTTTGGCGACGAAGTTATATCTCTGGGATTTAGCCAAAAAAAGCGCGTCATTAACATGGGTTACGGCCACGTAGTTTGTACGGACACTTTTGCACCGAAGATCAGTCACGATATCTTCAATGTGATTCCCGACTGTAGATACGTAGTACACACGGCCGGCCAGTATCCCGGGTTTTCCGGTGGCCCGACCGTAAATTTGTCCGGCAAATTGATAGCCGTTAACAGTATCGGAAGTCTTTCTAATGAATGTAATTATTCAATACATTTCAATCAAATTGAAAGTTTGTTATTAACTAAAATATTTACACTTTATTTAGTATTATTAATATATATATATTTTTTTGATGATTAAACAGATTTTGTTGACACCGGCACTGAATTTTATTATCAACAAATTGCTAGACGGGATAGGAATCACTCAGTGAGGTTAGGACTAAGCCTACAATGGAGTACATACTATGGTCTAAATGGTCTTATGGTTAACGAAAAGTTTTGCCAAACACTGGGAAAGTACGATAAAACACAACAACAATAGTGTTAACATTACTGTACATACAAACTAATAATAAAATTTTGTTTAAAAGTCAAAATTTGAACAGATTTGACATTATAGCTGAAATCAATGGACAACAAATCAGATCATTGGATCAATTTATGTATGAGTTAAGCCGTTTTCCTGACAACAACAACATACCGGTGCTTATACGCAATTTTTCGGGCGGACTTAATCCACAGACTATTAGAGTCCAACAATTGTACATAAAGTGGGTTTGAATTTATATTTTTTTATACGTTAAAAGTATACTTAATTTTTTTTAATAAAAAATTAATTAATTAATTAACAATTATATAACAAAATGTATGTTTGTTGTTCACCACACATCCAAATTTATTAATAATAATTTTTTTCAATAAATATATTAATATTAATTTTTAAAATGTGATTTACAAATAATTTCATTAATATTTAAAAAAGTGATCAAAAAATAAATAAAGATATTTTGTTTTACGTTTATCTATGAAATGTAAACCAATGGTATAATCGTATGGATAATAATAATAAAAAAATAATTTATTAAAATAAAATTTTATTTAAAAAATTAATTATTATTTTTAAATTAGTCTAAATTCTTTACCTCTTTTTTTTAAAAAAAAATATAAATAAAAATTTCAAACAAAACTAGAAAATCAAGTGAACAGACATATCGGTTGTAAAAGTAATCCAAAGAAAAAAACAATGACCACAATGAAGAAGATATTAGTGAATCCCGAGGAAGAGGCATACAATGGTCAGATCAAAGCCGAGGCCGTCAAAGTCATTGTCCAGCAATTTCCGAAAAAGATTGTCGAATTGAATACACTTATCGACAAACAACTTACCATCGATGGCAACAACAACAACAACAACAACGGTCTCAACATTCCGATGATTACCATTAGCAGTGATATCAGTAAATCATCTGAAACTGCAGCGACAATGACAGATAAATCCGATGTAAAAGTATCGGACAAATCACTGACTGACGGCTCAAATTCAGAAGCAATTGCTGTCAATGAGAACCAACACTTGAGTCAATTAGTCGACATATTGATGCCACAGATATGGGAACTATCGGTATACTGTTTGTCATTAGTTGTGGGCATGAATCTGATGGTCCCTGAGATGGAAGATGGAAACAATTTCGGTGTCGAAGTACAACACGAATGCATTGAAGCCATGACTGTCGTCGAAAATGATATCCAACGGCGTGTCCGCGAAATTCACGCCTATTGTCCGGCCAGAGCTGAACTGTTCGTCAAAGCCGTCAAATATCCTGACTGTCAGGACTACAGTCGGGCCATCCAAGAGCGCGATCTATCGTTTCAAAGTTACTGTCTGTTATCGTTGGTAACGGTGCGCAACCATTACATGAATCTTCACGATATGATGATGAAGAATATGCAGAAAATACGAAAACCCAGATCTGGTTCAACCACTCATATGATGTACTAAAAAGACTGTTAAGACAATAACAACAACATCTTCAGATAGTAATCAACCATTAGGTCATTTGATTGAGTGATAGATAGATAGACAGACAGATAGATAAATAGGTAAACAGTAGAATAAATTTGTAATTTATTTTGGTTGACAATAATTTTTTTCATATAAATTACTTTCAATAACATAACTAAATGATAGGAATATATTAATATTTCTAATTACATATAATTTTATTTTTTTTTTAATAAAAAGGCAATAATGAATCTACTGATTGATTATATCATCGATTAAAAAAAATTGTTGATAATTATAGCGATATAATGAATTAATAAAATAATTTATCTCGTGATATAATAGTCAACTATAATTATAACAATAACAAAAAAAATGTTAATATATTTTTTAAAATACATAATAATGTAAAATTTTTGTTACAATTACACTACATATCTTAATATCAGTACTTAATAATAATATATAAATTTATAATTAATTGTGAATAATGTATAGAAAACATGTATTATAATAGACACCGATTGACAGTTATAACAGTATCAGCTATTGTTGGCATCAGTCGTCATCAGTGGTGGCAAAACATTGGTTATAAGCACCGGGATATTGTTGTTGGCAAACAATGTCGACGACAATTGTCTACAATGGATGTACTTAATAGACAGGCGACAGTTGGCTATAGTTTACTGATGAAAACGGCTTTTATGACTAACGGGAACTATAGTGTTGAGTACATATACAATCTGATGGCCACTAAATTTGTTAAAATCTATTCACCGAACTATCTGATCGGGTTACCCGAAGACTGCGGCACCGGTACTATTGTTAACCATCATTATCAACCGTTTATAGTTACCAATGAACACGTAACAACAGGACATACCGTAGTGTACATACAGTTCAATCATGAAACGGACGTGCGTGCCGGTCAAGTGGTCTACAGAAATCACAATCTCGATTTGGCACTCATATGGGTTCCCGATTTACAGTTTGATATGATGGTCAGCGCCTGTAGTCCAGTAACAACTGAACCCGAATTTGGCGATGAAGTAATTTCGGTAGGCTTTAGCCAAAAAGGTCCGATTATTAACATGGGTTACGGCCACACGGTTTGTACTGATAGTTTAGGACCGCTGGCAAATGATATTACACTGATTACACCCGATTGCAAATACTTAATGCATACGGCCGGCCAGTATCCCGGTTTTTCAGGCGGTCCCACTATGAACTTGTACCGCCAATTGGTGGCCATTAACTGTATTGCCAATCAATTTAATGAACATAATTATTCAATACTGGCCACCAATTTGTTTAAAAGTTTAGATTTTTTACTAAAAAAAAATATTTTTAATTTATTTTTTTTGTTAATTATTGCAGTATTATATTTATATGTTTATATATATATTAGATTTTGTTGATATCGGTGCCATATTTAGGACACAACATATAGCTAGACGGCAATGGGAGCACTCGTTACGATTAGGACTGACCATCAAATGGAGTCCATTCTCTGGTGGCGGTGCTTTGGTTTATGAAAAGTTTTGCAATACATTGGGAAAGTATGGGAAATCTATATATATTTTTTTATATCTACAATAACTACTAATAATGTATTGTTTTTTATTTAATTTTTTTGTTGTTGATCTGTAGTCAAAATTTGGACAAACTTGACATTATTGAGGAAATCAATGGACAAAAAGTTAGATCATTGGACGACTTTATGTCAGAATTGAGTCGTATGGCTGATGACACTGACATACCAGTGCTGATTAGGGATGATAAACGTACACATATTATTAGGGCCGAGCAATTTGGCTTAGTATGGGTTTGACATTTATATACTGTATATCTTTAATCAATTTATAATATAATAAACTTTTATATATATATATATATATATATATATATATATACACTAAAAACATAATCTGTATATAAATTTTTCATCTATTATTTTTTTGTAACGATTTTATATAAATTTTTTTATCATAAATCTATATATCATTTATTATATAATATGATTGTATTGCTATACATAATAGATAAATATATATATATATATATATAATAAAATTTGTTTCCCTAATAAATAAATTATATAATAAAAGTTATGTTCAATAAATTTTCTATGAATATACAACCAATTTTATCTATCTAATTAATAATCTAATTATAGTTTTATTAAAATTATTTTTTATATATAAACCTATCAAGATAACTTTTTTTTTGGTTTAAAGTACATTATATTTTTTAATTAATTTACTAAAACATGAGTCGATTAAATTTATTTCTTAATTTATAATATCAAAACAAATTGAAATGATTTTTAGCATTTTTATCCAATTTGTTAAAACTTAATTGTAACATAAATAATATAAATAGCATTAAAAAATAAAATTTAAAAAAAATAAATTAAATTCCTAAGACAGTATAGAAAGAGAAAATAAATTTTTGTTGTCAATAATATACTGTATATAGATAACAATTTGAAATATCAAAAATTATAATTCAAAACTAGATGAAGAATAATAATAGACTGACTAGTGGAACCCATTTTGATAATAAATATTAAAAATTATACGAACAGTAAAGATATATAACTAACTAATTTTAAAATCAAAAATTATTATTCAAAACTAAATGAAGTAAAACAATAGTCTGACTAGTGGAACCCATTTTGATAATAAATATTAAAAATTATATAAACTTTAAAGATATATAACAAACTAATAGAATTTTCAAAAATTATTATTCAAAACTAAATGAAGAATAATAGTATACTGACTACTGGCTCCAATTTTGATAATAAATATTAAAAATTATACGAACAGTAGAGATATATAACTAACTAATTTTAAAATCAAAATTATTATTCAAAACTAAATGAAGAATAATAATAGACTGACTAGTGGAACCCATTTTGAAAATAAATATTGTAGGGGAAGTGGGTATATTACGGGTATCTAGGCTTGTCTAACCTTTCTTATGTAAACCAAACACTCGGCAATACATCACTTACCTTACGGTTTTGACTCTTTTAGTGATAACTTATAGTAATGCGTGGCTTAGGAACGAGCGGTTTCCTATTTAATCTACTCTGACCAATTAGGTCTGTAGCCCAAATAGGGTCTGTCACCCAAATAGGGTCTGTCACCCAAATAGGGTCTGCCACCCAAATAGGGTCTGTCACCCAAATAGGGTCTGTCACCCAAATAGGGTCTGCCACCCAAATAGGGTCTGTCACCCAAATAGGGTCTGTCACCCAAATAGGGTCTGTCACCCAAATAGGGTCTGTCACCCAAATAGGGTCTGCCACCCAAATAGGGTCTGTCACCCAAATAGGGTCTGTCACCCAAATAGGGTTTCAGACTCGTCTAGGGTTTCAGACCCGTCTAGGGTTTCAGACTCGTCTAGGGTTTCAGACCCGTCTAGGGTTTCAGACCCGTCTAGGGTTTCAGATCCGTCTAGGGTTTCAGATCCGTCTAGGGTTTCAGATCCGTGCAGGGTTTCAGATCCGTGTAGGGTTTAAGATCCGTATAGGGTTTAAGATCCGTATAGGGTTTCAGACCTATATAGAGTCACAGATCAGAAGGCCTGGAAGGACCGTGGGCCTATAAGGACCGTGGGCCTGAAAGGACCGTGGGCCTGGAAGGACCGTGGGCCTGGAAGGACCGTGGGCCTATAAGGTACACTAAGAGCCGACCGTTATCGGATACGGGGACCGGAGTTCTCATAATAAAAAGATTTACTTACGTAATATTTGGTCGCTTCCTTTCGCAAAGTGGATACGGAGTTATCAAAAGGCGTCCCTTGTGATGTCAAACGGTTGGTCCGCGTCGAGAAAGTTAACACACACAAAATAATATGCAAATACTTTTATTGAATCACTTTAAAGTAATACACACGGTATGACTCCAAGTGGAGAACTGATTTTGGTGTTTGAGAGACACCTCTATTTATACTAAAGTGTACGTGAGGAAAAAGTGTGTCACATTAAGTCAGGTTTTAATCACTATTAAAACTAGGAGTTTACTATTCACTTTTTTATATAACATTTCAGTGCATTATTTTAACACTGCAATATTGAATAAAAACAAAATAAAACTCTGTTAAAAACAAGGTGTTTACCTTTAGATTTTCAATATAACATTTTAGTGCTTTTATAAAAAATAATGATAATTTTTGCAATAATTTTTCATAGAAAAATAAAACAAAAATACATTACAATATAATTAGTAAATACAACCTTGGCTTCAATATAAATAATATAAAATTATAACAAACAAAATTTCAATACTTTAATTATAAAATATCGTTTATTTTGTATGTTATTTATGTGTTGTATAATATAAGGAAAAAATTTTAAAAAATTATTTAATAATAATTTCTAAGTGCATTTTGAATCATAAATTTTGACCCACTATTGCATTTCCGCCCCTTCAAGTCATCATCTGTCCTCAGATGTGTAAAAACTATTGCGTGGTAACACATATAACTCATGTACACATTAGTTTACAAATTTTGTATTATAAAATTTTACTATAAAATCCCTTCACCTTAAAAAAATGCATGCATTATATAACTTAAATCTATAAAATACCAATAAACCATGCATTATAATAAATTTTAATCGTTGTCCGTATTATGATCATCATTGTGCTTTGTTTCTTTTTCCGTGTTGTCAATTTCATCGTCCACTTGATTTTCATTGTCATGTAGCATCGAGTTCAGCATTGTTACTATCTACTTCATCAATGCCGTCCAATTCAGGAATTGTTTCATTTTTCCATTTTCTTAATCGTCTTATATGCACTTTCTTAAACTTTTTCCTTGGATTCTGTACACTTTGGACAGTGTATACAAGTGGACTGTGTCGCGTAATTATCTTATAAGGGCCAATATATTGGCTTAGTAATTTCGTACTAAGACCAATCTCTCTGTGAGGAATATGTAGTGACACCAAGTCACCCTCCTCAAATACTACATCGCGATGTATAGCATCATAACGGAATTTACCATCATTATGAGCTTATATAATTCTCATTTGAACCAATCTTCTTGTCTCCTCCATATACTTTAAATAGTTAGTACCAAATGCAAAATCACGCGGCAGATCATAAGATACGTCAATTGGTACTTTTGGTTCTCTTCCATATAGTAAGAAAAAGGGAGAAACCTTGGTAGCTTTATGATTACTAACATTATACGAGAATGTTACTTTAGGTAAGTACTGGTCCCAATTAGTTACATTATCTTGAACATAATGTTTAAGCATCATAGCTACTGTTCCACATGCCTTTTCCGCAGTTCCATTTGATTGTGGACTATATGGTGTTGTTTTCACGTGTTTGGAGGCTGTCAACTTAAAGACTTCTTCCATAAAGTCTGATATAAAGTATCTGGCATTATCTGTTAACACTTTTTAATGGCGCCGTGTCTTGCCAGAACTTCATCAACAAACCATTTCGCTATAGTAATGGCTTGTACATTTTTCACTGCCTTTGTTTCCATCCATTTTGTAAATAAGTCAATCATTATTATAATGTATTTACTGCCTTTTGACGTCGGAGAGAGAGGCCCAAGTATGTCTACTCCGACAATTTCAAATGGTTCATTGGCGTCGATAGGCTGCAGCATTCCTTTCTCGACTTTATTGTCGACCTTATTCAACTGACATGACTCACAGTTGTTAACGTATTTTCTGATTGACTTTTCACAGTGAGGCCAGAAAAATCTCTCTTTGATTTTTCCATATGTCTTTTCAAATCCTAAGTGAGCTCCGGACAACTCATTGTCATGTAAATCTTGTAGGATTTGTCGTCTTAATTCTTTAGGAAGGCATAACTGTAGCCTCCTATTTCTATTATCATCATAACTTATCCTATATAGAATTTCATTTTCAATAATGAATTTGCTTAAGCTTTTACTTTGTTGATTATTTTTTATTTTCTCTTTTAAGTCTTTACACCATTTATCACTATCTTGTTTCTCTATTATGTTTATTGTAGGATTTATTAGTACGGGTATTACTGGTTCCCAATCGTCTGGTTTCTCGTATGGATATCTTGACAATGCATCAGCATTGTTATGTAATTTTCCTTTCTTATATTTCACTTATATTTCACAAGTCATATTCTTCGAGTATTGTTCTCCAATGCATTAATCTTCTGTTTGGGTTTTTCAAATTTCTAATATATTGTAGTGGATTATGGTCACTGTATACAACAAAATGCTCGCCATATATGTAATGTCGATACCGTTCGACAGCCCATACTATAGCCAAACATTCTTTTTCTGTGATACCATAGTTTAGTTGTGCACTATTAAACATTTTACTATTGTAGCTTATGACGACATGTTTTCCGTTTTGAATCTGTCCTAGTATTGCTGACATGCCATAGCCGCAGGCATCGGTAAATATTTCAATGGGAGCACTTCTTGATATTGTGCCAGTATTGGGGCAGTAATTAATCTATTTTTAAGTTCATCAAACGCTTTTTGACATTTAATATTCCAGTTAAATTTGACGTCTTTGCGCAACAGGTTTGTTAATGGCTCAGCTATAAAAGCATAGTCTTGTACAAACACTCTAAAGTAATTTGCTAGTCCAAGAAAGCTCTGTACATCTCTAACTTTCTTAGGTATCGGAAATGCTTTAACTGATTTTATCTTGTCTTCATCTGGCTTTATCCCATCCGATGAAACTATATGTCCTAAATATTTTACTTCTTTGCAAAGAAATTCACATTTTTCAATGCCTAGTCGTAGATTATATTCTCTAATTAATTTCAAGACGCTTTCCACGTGTCGTAGATGTTCATCAAATGTATT